AACACAATCGTAAGAACCATAAACGGTAAAGGGTTAATTGTGTGACATATGGTTGTCTAGGTATACACAAAGCTCGACGATTCAAATATATTGCATCTAGCGATTGACTGAGTATATCCGACATATGTTCACTACAAAAAGTCCAAGGGGAAACCTACTTATTCAGATGCAATTAATTCTTGTTTGTAAAGTACACATATTTGTCCGTTTCTTTGTCTTGGAGTCATTCCCCATTCATGCGGGGGATTGTTAGGTTTTAAAAGGTGTAAATGGAAAATGAAGAGTTGCGACTTTTATGAAGAGTTGTGACTTTTATGAAAGGTGGTGACCTTTCCGAAAGATTGTGACTTTTTCAAAGGTTTGTGAACTTTCCGGTAAGGTCACAATAAGAACATTTTCACACTAACCCTTTGTTTTCTATAAATTGCGGAATTTCCTCTCCTTTTAAAAATAGAATTTTTCTGGACTTCTTCTACTACTAAATCTAGTATTCTAAGTGTACTTTACTGCCGTTGAGTGGTTCGCTGACACCAGTGTTTTGGGTATCAATACACTGGTGATGGAGATCATTCTATCCTGGGAGGACATATTCCAAATCAACCTCGGATACTAGAAGGGAATAATTTCCTTAAGGGGACACTGTGCATTCAGTGGGCTTGATCTTCTTTCTGTTTTTCCAGATTCTGGTATGTGTTACAGATTTTAAATTTGTGAATTAATTTATAATCTTCTGTTCTTCACTGGTTCATTAAACGTTGGTAACTTCATGTTTCTGCAAAGTTTGTTGGAATCAGTAAGATTCTTTAAACACAGATTGACAACAATTCTTCTTTAAGGAAAAATATTTCGTATATTTTTTCTAATCTGTTTCTGATTCTAGTTTCTCTACTAATTTTAATTTTCTAGTTGTGAAAATGTTCTTAAACTTTATCGTGTCTTACCAAGTTCTTCAAAGTTTTGTTCTAAGTATCTTAGGAATACAAGACAAAAACATCTTCTATATATATGAAAATATAGAATAAAAAAACTTTAACTTTAGCTTGAGAACCAAAACACCCATCAGCCGTTTTGGGCATAGGCTGGAGGGATACTTATGCATTTTCCCTTTTTTTTATATATACTCCGTCTCCATCAAGGTCAATGGGTACTCAAGCACCCAATGCCGTATACGTATACATAAATCCGCCCCTATATATGTATATATATATATATTTATATATATATATATATAT